GAAGAAATCTCATATAATCTATTCCAATTAATAATTTTAATGCGAGGATAAATACTTCAAAGTTTTTGAGGTGTGTAATGAAGCCTTTTATAAATAATATATAAAAATCAGTGTTTATGATGCATCATGTGATTGCTAATGAATGATTCTGATATTCACTCATAGATTAGATAATACATTAACATGATGGGTTAGGAAAAAAGAAAATTTGCATTCTAATTTCATTCTCAGGGCTGACAAACTACTAAGCAAGAAGTACAATGTCATCTTCAATGTACCATGCTCGCTGGGGGACCCTTATGTAACACAAAACAAAGAGGACTCCCTGCATGGAAGAGCCATGCAGAGAGGTGGATAACTGTCTTGGGTCAGGTTACACAGAAGAAAACCAGTTATGGGGACTCTCGTTAAAGTGCCATGATGAGGGGAGTCAGACAGGGCATCGGGAAGCAGAATTGACAAGGGAAGAAAGTTAAGTAACAAAGTGGTCTGGGTAGAAACTAGTTGCAGACTAACCTTGAGAACAGCTCTGGAGGACACAGGGCACATTGCACCAGACTTGGTCCTATCTTTCCTTAAGGTCTTTCCTTAAGAAAAGGAAAACAGACTTTTACACCCTGAACTGCTGAGAGAAGGATGAAAAAGGAACATCCTCCCCAAGGAGGCACCTGTTATTCAGCCAGAGGCCAGGCTCTGGACAAAGGAGCAGTGGTGAGCTGTTAGCAGCCTCCAAACACTGGGGTTTGGGCCATCTGTTTGGCAAAGGAGATCTTAAGAGGACACCAGCAATATCCGATGGAGCCATCTCTTGTGCTGTTCAGATCCTCTTGCCTTTTCACATTAAGTTTGCTACATAGGCACAGTTGCTAGAATATTGAGAAACACTAAAACAATGCAAACATAGCTACCCCTGATAAAAGAGCCAGAGAAAAGCAACGTATGCTGGCTGCCCAGCACCAATGACCTTCCCGATAATGTCCAGCGCCTTCCCCCACTGCCCTTTCGCAGTCATTTTTTCTAATGCCCATTCCCTCCAACCTCCCTTTTCCCACTGTAGGATGCTTAAAAACCCCAGCCTGTAAGACAGGCTGTGCTCTCGCCCCTCTCAGAGTGTTACTTTGGTGGCCGAGGGTCCCTCTCAGGTCTCCTCTCCCTCTAAAGACCTGCTGCTTAAAAAGTTCGCAGATTCTTTTTCAGTCTCTCTCTCTCTCTCTCTCTCTCTCTCTCTCTCTCTCTCTCTCTCGCTTCTTGGTTTTCCTTCCAACAGTGACAACCTCTGAGTAAACTTCCAAGAGGCAAGTGAGGGTGTAAACTGTATACCACTGCTGTGTAGTTGGTCCTAAAGCCTTAAATCACCCACATTCTGGATTCCCTTTGGCTCTCACTTCAATCTCATGTCCCAGACCTCATCCCTGAGCCATCTGAGCCCCTGGCTGTCATACACTTATCAGCCTAGTTGCTGCATTTCCACATTTACTAAGCAAGTTATAACTGTGCCTGGATTACCAAGAGATGCCACTATAAACACATTCATCCCTCTGCCACTAGGTAGCAGCAATCTATCTCCATGCTATTGTGATTGCTAGAGTCTCCCAGTACAGTAAACCCTTTCGTGGTCTGCTGGTCTCCTAGTTTGAGGAACCCAGAGTAACTGGGTAGCAGTTACTCTGCTAATTTTAGGTTAATTAGGTTCAGAAAACCTAATTTTAGGTTTTCTGAGATTCTTTCCATATACTCTGTGGAACCAGGACCTCTAGATTCATAGACAAAAGTTGCAGGGATAGGAAACATAATCTCCCAAGTGAATTATGTGAAGTGATAGTGAGGTGGACCAGCTGTCTTTTTTTTCTATTATCACCCCTCAGTTCCTTGACCTATGTAATTCAACCTCTGGGGTGACAGGATATCGTATAATGGCTACTGTATACAGTGAATGATGATGGTCCATCTTCACAGGGTATCTTCCTCAGGGGTAAAGCACTTTCAAAAGACTTTTCCCGAGCTCAGTAACTTCAGAATGGTACAGAATGTAATAGGACCACTGGATCTCATGGGGAAGCACCCACCACCTTACTTCTTATGCAATGGGCCACTTGCATAAGAGGATATTAGATGGAATCCTATGCTTAGACCAGATATTCTGTGAGCTCTTGATTAGTAGTGTTGATTGAGGCACTGAATAAGGAAAGGGCTTAACCATATGCGGGATACTTATCAATTGTAGTCAGGGTAGAATATTGATTTTTCCCAGATGGAATGGTCCACTCTAATCAACTTGCTAACCATTAGCGGGTTTGCCTTATTGGGACTCTGTAATGGTTTTTATTACAAGTAGACAAGACACTCAGCAATAGCAGTAACTTTCAGCCTTGGTGAGTGTGTGGATGTTTGGGGATCATGATAACCTCCACCTCTGCCACTGGGTTTCCCTGTTTGTGAACCCCTTGCACAAACCCTGGGATGGTCAATGAGAAAGACTGGTAGGCATTAACCAGTTGACTCATTCTGTCCACTTGATTAGTCAGTGTTTCTTTCGAAATGGATGCCCGTGGGAGGTATTAGCATCCAGTACAAAGGTTGATCCTCACAAATGGCACCTGCCCTTACTGGTTCATCCACAGTCTTTCTCCAGACTTCCTTGTCCTTGATGTTTTCCTTGGGCCACTTCTCTCTCTACTCAAAGTGAATAGCCAGATGCTGTACCCAAAGCTCTGCCTCCTGGAAGGTTTTCCACTCATCATTGGCTCTCAGAGTCACCTGTAAGTGAGGGCTAGAAAATAATAGCAGTCTATTTCAAGCTTGGACACATATATCTAGTCAACTTATTAATGAATGAAGCTCATGCATTGTCTTTCTCTGTCTGACAATGAGAAATTCCCAAGAGTTCAAACATGTGAGATGAGCTAGAAGTGACTGTGCTATAGTGATGAGTGGTAAAACACAGTTTTCTGGATCACCTGTTCATGCCATTTTCTTGTGCTCTCTGTAGCTACTTAAGTCCAGTATTGAATATTTCATTTCTAGTTTACAATGAATTGCTTCTAGGCCACTCCTAACTTCTAACAGTACCCAGCTTTTCATAGTTAGTTCCCATTGCAAAGTCAGCTGGCATTTCCTGGTTAGGCTCTCTACTATCATTAGTGCCTACCAGGGCTAAATAGCATGTCAGACACTATATTTTAATGGTGACCATTTCTTTCTTAAAGATGTCACAGCTTTGATTCCTCTGTGCTATTGATTCACAGATTGTGCTTGATTCAGTCTGTGCTGTTGGCTCTCCTGGTGAAGATTGGTAAGACTCTACATTGTCTATTTCTATACTATATATGTCTACTACCATGTGATCAGTTCAAACAGGACTACTTGTACCATCACCTGCTCCTGCTGCATAGCCCAATTTTGTCCTGAGTTCTACTCAAAAGTAGAAGTTCTCACATTAATCAGTGAATGAAGTCAGAGCAATCTTCCCAAACATAGAATATGTTCCCTTGAAAACTTGAACAAGTCCCACCAAGCATAGCACTTCATAGTTACTGGGAAAGTGCAAATTTCAGTACTTTGTCCTTTACTTTAAATGAGGGGTCCTAGCTTTCCCCGAGCCCACTCTATCCCTAAAATATTTCATATGTTTGGCAGGCTCCTGAATCTTTGTAGGGTTTTTCTGGAACTCTCTGGAGTTCATATATCAAACCATAGTCTTGAAAATGCAAGCCACTTCTCACTCATAGAGTTCTTAATGTTTATTGCATGGTATCATTAATATAGTGGACACTTGTAACATTCTTTGGAATACCCAAATAAATCAGATCCCTTTGGCTGTATTGTGACACCTAGCAGGAGAATTAACATAGCTCTGAGGCAACTCAATAAATGTGCATTTTCATCCTCCTTTTTTAGGATGGGTATTTTAAAAATGTACTTTCTTAGCCAAAGTTTATGTACTCAAGGCTCTTATTTTCTCTACCAAAACACCACTTCCAACACAGCAGTTACAATTGGAACTATAACTTGGTTTGAGTTTGCATGAATACACTATAATTTGCCAAGGTCCATCTGGGTTTTTTAAGGGACCACACTGTTGAATTAAATGTGTATGAGTGGAGGTCAATGCCTTTGCATTCTTACAGTCTTTAAGGGCAACACAAATCTATGTAATTCCCTTTAGATACAATATTGATTTTTTTGTTACTCTTTTTCCTAGGGGAGGTTGATTCAAGGACTTGTGGTTAGCCTCTCTCACTACAATAGCTACTACTGGTCAAAGAACTAAAACAAGAGTTCTTCCTGCTTCTAGGTAATACCATTCAATTGTACATTTAAAAACCAATGAGGCTGTGGGCTATTTATCACCTGATCGCTATAATTCCCCATCCTAAAACAAGGTCTATGTGATTTTCATATTGTTTCTGGGAATCAAGAAAAATTTGGATCCTGTATCCAAATTCCTTTAAAAGGTATAAATCTCCATTTCCCCATTTGTAATTACCTAAGCAGATGGTCATAGTTTCCTTTAAGAAGACTGAGGGAAATGCTTGTGTTTCATTTCATGAGTTGCTGAAACCTTCCTCAGGGAAAATGGCCTCTTGAGCCTAAGGTCTAGAAATTGAGCAAGGATTATAACTTTCTTTTGTGGCAGCTGACCTCAGTTTTCTACATATCCAACCTCCATCCTTTTTGGGATATCCCAAGAATATAGTTTATTTTTGTAGGCTTCCTATGCATCTTATCTCTAGAATACCATGTTCTATTGTCAATTTCCCAGGAAGATGAGAACTGAGAAGGAAGAGGGAAAAGTTGGAAAATTCCTTGTTTGTGTACACAGCAACCAGGGAGGGTGAAAACTGGCTAACTTCCTGTTAGGGGGTCCAATATAAAATCAATCTATCTTCTAGTTCAATATTTTCTTTGTTCTTTTTTCATACAAATATCTTATACAACTTAAGAAATTTGTGTGCCACTAGTAACTTTTACAATCTGCAATTTTTTTTAATTCTCTAAACAAAATTGGATGTCCAATAATAAAAGGTAATATAAGGTGCAAGTCAGATTTTGTAGACCAATGGAAATTTTTGAAAAATTTAAATACCATTGTACCGATAACCATTTATACCAGAGATACTCAAGAAGACCAGACAGTTATTGTTGAAATGATTCCCCAATATAATTAGATCTTTCATTTAGTCAGGAATCTGTTATCTTCATGATGCCCACCAGAGGGCGAAAGAACCTTTGTAGAAGAACAAAGCACAGCTATTAAGCACTTTGCAGCTAAGATTTTTGTTATCTTTTTTTTGAGGAAGAAACAGTACAGGGTAGAAAATAAACACCAACATCAGTAGTATATTTCAGAATTTTCCTATGTCATTTTACTGGATATACTTTCATTTGTATTTTAATCTTACAAGTCAATCTCAAAAACATAAAACAGGAAAATGAGCCATGCCTTTTTTCAGTTTAGGCAAAAAGGGTAAATAACAAAAAAATGAAAACACAATGAAATTTAATATATTATTTCCACATTAACATCTTGCCCCAAACACCATGCAGTGTTAAAGTCACATCTCCATCATGCACAGAGATTAAAATAAGTGGTGACTGAAAGTTCTGGTTCTTATTACAGGGTGTTAAATATCCGTGGGACATGCTTTCCTTTGGACTGAAGGTAAAGAAATATCAAGACAGAGCCATTAAGTTTCCTCACAACAAGAGAAACGTAAAACATGTTTTTAAAGGTAGAATCCATCTTTTATGGTGTGGTAATGTGATCACATGGAAATGAATGGAGACAGAAGAGGCGAGAAAATCGCTCCCTGTCTCACAACATAGAGAAGCTTGTGGCTACTTGAAGTGTCATTCTGTGGGGACAGTTTTCTGTGAGGAGTGGAACTACTCCCAAGGAGCTTTTATTTTGAATTTTGTGTAACAAATCCATAGGAAAGCAGGCATCTCCTATTTCTAGGACCTGATTTCTCCGGTGGAATAAATATACAAAAATATTGCGAGAGAAGTGAATTGGAAAACATTATATCATGTTCTGTTAGTCTGAAGAAGAGATACATCCAAAAACTTCATTTGGTTACAGAAGCTTTTCAATATAAAGTGACATTTGGGTAATCATCTTCTATACCTAAATTACTCATTAAGTCATCTGTGTGGCTCTAACAAAATATCATCTTTCTTTCTTACAAAGAGGTATGTGACCATGCATTTAAATATGGCTTTAATTGGTATAGCACCTCTCCTCAAATGACTTAAAAATATTTTTCTTTTAATCTGTTTCATCTCTGTGACACCTTGTGATCTGAACTCTCCCTGAGGAAACTAGCCTAATTACATAATAAGAAATTGTGACAGAGGGTCAGAAGACAAACCCCTTATCATTTCATTGGGTCTCTGACATCTGATATGACATGCCTCAAAAGGAAAACAAAGCAAACTCTCTCCATTTCTCTAATATACCTCTTACATCTAATACCCTCCCAGCACTAATGAGTAGCATAATTTACAGAAGGAAAGAAAGGAAACACAGAGAGATTAGGGTAAGTCCCAGTTCTCAGAAAACCCAGCAGCAGGGGCAGCAGGCTGTTAATAGACTGTGGTCAAGGCAGAGGCCCCTCAGGTTTCACATGGAAGGCTTAGTAAAAAGCCATCAAGTCCAGCTGGTTCTGTGTGCAGAACCCACCCAGACTGATAAAATGCAGGACTTCAGGCAGAACACTCCAGAGGGATTTACCAGACAACAGGTAAGGCTCAAAGGGGCTTTGCAGTTCTGATCCATGATCTTCCCACTTGGTCCATGGGGTGGCAAGAGGAGTGGGGGTTGAGGGGCCTAAAGCACAACGATTTGTAAACTATAGAGTTGGTGTAAATATAAGGCAGGAGTTCACATTGAAATCTAATTTAACACCAACTCCTTCTTAAGCCTCCTTGGACCTGAAATAATTGCTTGCTTTAGGATTCTTTCTAGGACTTTGGTTCTATTCTGAGATTTGCGCCATTGTGGTGAAACTAGAGAATTCTTAAAAGCAAGAGATGCCCCTCAGATGCAAGAAGGATGTGGAATTCAGTGTATATTTGCAATAATATATCAAAATGAGGGTATCTTATCAGTCACCAGTCTGGCTCTAAAGGATAACAATAGAGGTTTATCCCCACAACTCCAAAGCACAGTCCTTTTTAGATTCTAACCCTTAACAAGTGCCCAGGTTTGGAAGTCTTACATGTAGAGTGGGTGCAGAAGGGTCACCCCAGGTCCCACAAACTACCTAAAATCCATTTCAGATGAGCAGTCCCCAGGACTAAACTAGAAGACATCCACTTTTCCCCCAAATCTCTTTAACCAGAAAAGTGACTTGAAGCCAGAACAGAATTCCCCAGGGTTCCTCCTACACTGAGTGTCATGGAGTCACCTATTCTTCCTCTCACTTGCATCTGTCCCCCACCCTTCTCTTAAGGGCTACACCTATAGCTAAAAACCCACAAAAGCAGCCCATACTCCCTAACTCAACCTAATACAGACTGGAAGCATTTACAAAGGAGGAAACACTACCACGTGTGTATTTTCACCTTTAAATTTGAATAGTACCAAAGAAGCTCACATTAAAAGGTCAGTTAAATATGTATTAATGAAAAGCTAAAGTAAAATATTTAAGTGTATGGACAAGTTCTGGCCATAAGGAAATCTTAAGTTTAGGAAAAACTGTTTGGAAGTCTATAGGTTGATTTGCAGACCAAATAAAAAGAGATAAAATAATACTTTTTTGTCACACCATGATTTCCTCCATTATTTAAAATGCTCCCTTTACAATGTGAATCCCAAACCATCAACCTTCTCATAGCTTCTAATCACAGAATGAATCAATGGTAATTTCCAGAGGAAGAGGTTGAAGCGAACCTCTCAAACCAGAGCATCATCCATTCCTAGGACCTGGACGGAATTTCTCTTGGCCTCACATTCTTTTTTTAGTCACTTGAGGCAAGAGCTTGCTGGGCCAACCTGACTGATATGGTCTATTATTTTAGAGACCCTCCTAATGCTTTCACTTGCTTTCTGCTTTTTGTTTTTATTTTCCTTAAGGTGAAGGCTATGTTTTGTTTACAGAGTATGAAGACATCTTAAGGAGAAATATTCAAAACTATCTCCATTTAGTTTGGGTGGTTATTTCCACTTGAATGTCAAGCCACATTTTGATGCTATGAAATGAAACGTATTCTGTCAACAACTTGCTAGCAACAGGTAGGTAGGGCCCAAATGGGTTCTTAGTGGGTTGTGGTTATTCTGATAGTGAGAAATCGTCACTGTGACCAGCAAGTAAGACTTTTATATTATTTCTCTATGATCTCTCTTTAACAACAAACTCCAAATTCTATTTATCTATAGTCAAGAGATTGCATTAGTTGTGTTTCATTTGGTCTAGAACTTATGGGCATAAATGCCAAAAAAAAAGCTTAAAGTTTATTTGATAGAACGGATTACCTAAGATGAAAGTTAAGAGGAGGACTTACAACAGATGCAGAAATCTAAGAGCTCTGAAGTTTTAGAAAGAGAGAAGGAGAGATAGAAAGAGACCAGAAAATGAAAAATTATCAGCACATGCTCCCATATTTTTCTCACAAGATTTCCTGAGAGTTTCTCATACATTATAGTGCAACGTAACCCCAATAAATCAATAATTCCTATTTTTCTCAAGCAAAAAGTATATACTTTCAGAATATATATATACTGAACAAAACATATAATAGCATATCATCTTTTAAAACACTCTAATTTGAACTTTTATAAATATATTTAAATAAGAAACATATTATAGATAGCTATTCATATAGCACACAATGAACACATAAACATACAAAGACAAAATAATCATGTTTAATTCTACTCTTGTTGTTTTTGTTCGTTTGCTTTTTCTCCCAAGTAAAAACAATTTTGGTGCCAGAATCATCTCATCAATATTGATACCAGGAAAACTGGACATAAACTCATATTGTGTGCAAGTGCTACCACCAAGGATGAAAGCAGGAAGATCTTCCTTGCTGGGCTTATTACTACTCCTACCATTATTTAAGGAAAGTAGGAGGGAGTAGAGGTCTTCAACTGTAATGAGATAGTTTTTTCCCATTGTTGTGAGGAAATGAAATATTAATCAGATTCCCCAACCTGGGACAAGTGTGAAATATCAAGCTGTCTTTTGAGTGAGTGCCTCCTCTTGATCTCTTCTACACACCACTCTCTATAAAGAATTTCTCAACAAGTGTAAAAGGCACCACCATTCTGTAACAACAAAGGCAAGAAATTTTTGTTCCACAAACCAACATGTGTCCTACTCCAGTTGCTGCCTTAGAAAACATTCCTTCACTCAAAAAGTGCTTTGGAGAACTCTGCTACCTGACAAGGCTGAATGTGCACATGCTTCTTTTGGAAAACAGAATGTTTCTATGAGTAATTTCCCCTAATAAAATTGGATCATTTGCCCTTGGTATATTGTCATTCTCTTGAACGCAAAGGACGGAAGATGCATTTCTCACATCCCATCCAGAGCTTAGCATCACTGGGAGCTCCTGGTAGGGACACAGAAAAATGTCTGCTCAACTGAATGCCACCATTGCAATCTTGATGAATGTGACAAAGCTGGAACCAGGAGTGTCACTACATTTGGTGATTGTCTTCACCTAAGTCACATCTTAATAAGGCAAGATGATACTTGACAAACTAGGTTTCAGTTTTCCTTTTAGGGAAAAGTGCAATCACTTGCAACACCTTACAGAATTGCTTCTCTTCTGAGGAGAGAATCCTGGCTTTTTCAAATAGAATTTTCTACACAGGCAGAAGAAGGTGAGTTCTTGAGTTCCTGAGCAGTTTCTTCAGGGTCAGGCGGGATTTGCTGATGATGATAGATGTCCTGGATCAGCATGGTGTTCATGAGCTTCCACTCTCTGTATTTCCTGGCTGTCAGCTTCGGATCGTCCAGCAGCTGATTAATCATGGCGAGATCATGTTCTTTACACTGCCCAAATAGAAAAGGAGGAGGAGAGGAGGATATCATGAGTATTTTAATTTCAACAAACCACCTTCATCAGCCCTGTCACAAATCATTAACAAAGTAGTCATATGTTTTTGTACATTAGTTCTAATCTCTGCTCCAAGCTTACGAAATGTAGGTGGACATTTCTTTACATGTACTAGTTACAAAGAAGTTACATTTCTTACCTAAGGTTTAGTAGAACTAGACAGAAAGCCAAGGTCATTTTCTATGTTGCTCTTCCCTGGTCCATCTGTTACTCCACGCCACAACAATAATTCTGTCTTGGTGTGAACATTACTGTCTACCTCATGAAGCTTATAAATTGCAAGTTGAAGCACTTCATTGAGCATCCAAACTTCACTAAGCAAAACTAGGACATAACACTTTATCTGAAGCATAAGGTAATACAAAATGTCTTTAAAACTTTTGTGTTTCTTAAATTATCTTATTTCTAATAAGTTGCATTTGATTAATATACATCAAATAAACACACAGATGTCTTTTTCATTCAAAAAAGAGACACCAATCCTTCCATCAAAACAGCATCTGTGCTGGTATTATTGGACCCTGTCTCCTCGGTATCCAATGATTCATATTTAAATCTCAGGCTTGGGTTAGTTTTTTGTAGTCAGGGATGAAGTAAAACTAAGATACATCTCCTTCACAGTAAAAAATATCTCTCAGCCCTGACAATTTTATCTCAAATTGTTTTCCCCATCTCTAGGACCACAATCCTAATTAGGAATTCAGTCCACTATGTTATGCTTGCTTTGTTACTCCACTAACAAAGGGATCCTTGCCTCCAACCCCCACTTTAAATACACTCCTCATGGAAGTACGGGGTATCCACCTACATGCTGAATCTCCTTAATGATTTCCCTCAGGGTCCAGGGCTCCATTTGGTGACCCTCCACCTTCTCCTACTTTCCACTGTAATGGTATTGGTGTGTATTTTCTCATCCACACAAGATTAGATCACACCTCCATGATGTTGTGCCATAAAGAGAACTTTCCTCACTTTCTTCACCCGATAAACTCTAATTTCCAGAGTTGCTCTCATAGAAAGTACTTTTTAATATTTATTTGTCCAACTTTTCCATAACTTATAAATCTATATTCATACTTCAGGCAGCATTGTTCTCCAAAAAACTTCCCTGGACCCCCAAATTGGATTGAGAAACTTGATTTTTATGCTCTCTTCCTACCCAGTCCTTAGAGTGCTCTTGGAATTCTCTATGATATATTTAGATGCTTATGGACATGACATGCCACCTGTTCTAAACTTAAAGAAAGTGACAAGAAGCATATTTTCATATCCCTGTCTTCCCAACACCTAGCACAACTCAAAGTGCCCCACAGACACTTCACTCACAGGTGAAGAAAGTGAGGAGAACCAATCTCTCTGCCCACCCCAGGATACCAGATGTGCAGCTAAAACTTCACAACCATGATCACTTTTCTTGCTTCAAATTCAAGTCTACTTGCCAGTAAGTAGACTTTGATTGCTCTTCAGTAATAACTTTTTCACATCCCTCTTCTCTCCCCCACTCCAAAGTCCCCATTTTAAAACTTCTCATCTCACCTCGAACCTCCTCTACCACATTCACAGTTGATGACCTTGCTCTTTATTTTCTGTGGAAACAGAAACAATCAAGAGTTCTCCAGAGTTCCTATCATCCACTACCTACATCGGCACAAATATGCATTGACTTCCTTCCTGTTCGAACACAGAAAACACCTGTGCTCCCAGCAAAGACCAGTTCTTCCACGTGGGCACCATCACCTCTCCTCTCCTATAAGAAATTCACCACTCTCCCATGATTCCTCAGCTTCCAATCTCTACTCGGTCATACTCAGTGGCATACCTGTACACTCTTATTTCTCCTACCTTAAAAGTCGTTTCTCACCCCACACTCCATCCAGCTCATGTTCCACTTTGCTCCTTCTCTCCAACATCCTGATGCTCACTCTTTTAGAGACCCACCCCCACCACCTTTTGCCCCACCATTCCAAATTCCACCAAAACTGGAATATTCATCAGCGACCTCCATGTTGGTTTATCCAATCATTAATCATACATGTTTTCTTTTCTTCTTTCTTCCTTTTTTTTTTTTTTGCAGTACTGGGGCTTGAACTCAGGGCCTACACCTTGAGCCACTCCACCAGCTTTTTAGTGATGGGTATTTTTGAGATAGACTCTTGAGAGCTATTTACCTGGACTGGCTTTGAACCTCAGTACTCTTGATCTCTGCCTCCTGAGTAGCTAGGATTGCAGGCACGTGTAATTATCCATTTTTAATTCATTTATTAACTATACCTAAAACTGTTGGGTACTTCTCTTTCTTGAACACTTTCATCCTTTTGCTTCTGTGACACATTGTCCTGATTTTTCTCATCCCATAATGACCACTTTCCTGGTTCCTCATCACCCAACATCTTCACACTGGAGTGTCCAGGAGCTCCAGCCTTTCTCTCTTCTCTAGTCTATTATATTCATGCTCTTCATGATCTCATATGTCTCCCCCTCTCACATATATGCTCATAATCAAAAATTTGTATCTCACTTTACCTTTCCTCTAAGCTCCATCCATATGTTTTTGTCTAAATTTTCCCTTCAGCAGATATATTTGGACAGCTAATAGGCAGCCTAAATATAATAGGTCCAAAACTGAGATCCTCCTATTATTCTCTGTATCTTACCTCTGTCCCAAGTACACTGAACCTTGCTTCTACTGTAGTCTTCTGCAAAGCATTTAATGACAACTCCATCTTTCCAGTTTCTCAGGACAAACATTAGTCATCCTTGACATCTCTCCTATCCACACCACCATCAAGTCCTAATAGTCTGCCTTCAAAATATGTCAGCCATGCACATCTCTACTCAGAACTTTCCAAACACTTCCTATCTCACTCCAAGTAGAGGCCAAGGTGTTTGCAATGGCAGCAAGACCCCATATGGCATGACCTATTGCTGCCAATCTGGTCCCACACTGATCTCCATCCTCCAACCCCAATGCATTCCAGACACACTCACTCCTTGTTCTGCCTTAAACACATGAGGTAAGGCATGCTTCCATCCAAGCTGTTTGTATTTTTGTTCCTTTTGCCTGCACACTCAGCCTCAGATAACCCCAAGTCTCCTCTCTTTACTTCCTCAAATTTTACATGAATTTCATCTTACAAAGAGGCTTTTCCTGCCTACTCAAGTTAAAATTCAGTCCTCCAACATTCCCTATCTCAATTCTTTTCTATTCTCTATCAACTGTATCATCATTTACCACACTATATAATTAAATTGGAAGATTCTGTGTTAAGTTAAATAAGCCAGACACAGAGAGACAAGTACCACATGTTTGCTCTTATCCACAGATACTTTTTAAGTAATCAACCTGAAAGTATAAGAGGACTTTCTAGGGACTGGGAGAGTGCTGTAGGTAAAAGGATGGCCATCAGGTGAAGGATGAAAGGGTAGATGATATGACAGGTGCACAATATACGCATGTGTGAAAATATCACCATGAATCCAATTAACTTGTACAGTTAATGTGTAAATAATTATAATCTCCAAGGAGAGGAGAAGAGTTGAAGGTTGAATTGATCACCAATGGCTAATGATTGAATCATTCATGCCTATGCTATAAAGCCTACACAAAATCCAGAAGGACCAAGTTCAGAGAGCTCCCAGATGCTTGAATTCTTGGAGATGCTGGAGTATAGCAGGCCCACAGAGGACACAGAAGCTCTGTGCTCCTTCCCATATGCCTTTCTCTATATATGTCTTGCATCTGGGTGTTCATCCGTATCCTTTGTAATATCATTTCTAATAAACCAGTAAATAGATGTAAGTTAAAAATGAGTATGTTAAATAATGAGTGAATGAATTTTAGGATGAATTACCCATTTGCTTTCAAATCTCTTTTGCATCATGAACCCTACTAAAGCCAATGAAAATCCCCTCCATAAACAAGCAAACAAATCATGTAGACACAGATAGTTGATTTATAGTCAAACTTTCTTCTAGGAAGGGGAAAAAATAGTGTAGTATGAAAGTAAGCAAAGAGGGACAATAAGCAGATGGTCCAGAACCCAGAAGTACAGGAACTGAAAACTAAGTAAATAAGTAGGAGAGTAATTCTAGAAAGTCAAAGCCAAAAAAGGGTTTACCTCTTCTCTCTCAGTTCTCAGTATCTTTGCTTCAAAATACCTTTTCCAAAATAAACAATAACAAGCTTTCATCCTCTGATAGCACCACAGTGCTATTAATAGGAAGTTATTTCAGGATTTTTATTTTGTTCTAAAGAAATTTAGACATCTGCTTCAGAGGGGTATCTTAATATTTTATTAAAAAAACTAAATAGGATCTTTTAGGGTTAATAGAATTTTGGGAAAATGATTTTCAAAAGTCAAGAATGAATCAACCACCATTTAAAATCTGATAAAAGTTTTAGGAAAATGTCTCCTCAAAGCTGGGAATGAGGCTGACACTTCTCTTATGGTATTTGGCTCTGAACAATTCAAGTTTCTTATCATTTGTGTTAAATCAGGTCTTTTATAGATGAAAGTGAAAACTATAGATGAGAATATAGAGGAAGGAAATTAATAAAGTAACGAACTCCTCTGAGATACTTCTTATACCAAGAACCCTTGTGATCAGAGCATCACACAGTAGACTTGCTTTTAGTAGCTAGTGTGGGAGGTGATCAAAGGCTTTGACCTACTCTGACAACATCCACTTTGCTCTCTGACAGGAAAGCAAGGTTGCAGGCTCTCCAAAAAATATTATCAAAAGAGAATGTTATATTTTTCATTTTTATTCCAAATATTCAGTGCATGGTTTGACTCAAGATCTAAGCATTGGAAATGTGTCCCACCAGAGCAGTTACAGAGAAGAGAAGGTTCGTTCCCCTTTGATACAGTCCAGAGTAATTCTGAGAAAGTGTCATTCAGGCCCATTAATCATTTATTAATCATCCATATTAAAATAAAGATAGACTTAACCAAAAGCCAGTGAACTTAAAGCTGTCAGAAGTTCCAACAGATCTACATGTAGGATACCACATAATAGTTTGCCCACCTTCTAAGAATAATTTTTCCCAAAAGCACTCATTCCAATACAATCTCAGTGCAGGAATTTGTCCTTAGTCACAGAGCACACCTATCGCAAATACAAACATCACTCTTGAAAGAGTTTCCTGGTTTCTGCCTGAAACTCTGTGGCCTGTGCCTGTCTACACTTCAACTTTGAAGTACTTTTTAAATAAACATTATTATCACAATGTAACATTCATAAAGAAGAGTGCACAAACAGAAAATTTATTCTTGATGAATTATCACAAAATGAGCACAACACTGACCAACACCAAGGTCAAAAAGAACCCTCACCCAGCACCTCAGATGCTTACACCCTTCCTCCTCAAAGGCAACTGCTTCTGGATGCTTTGAATTTTAAGAATAGCTAAAAAATAAGCCAGATAACTTTATGATATGAGTAAACACACACAAACCAAATTATCTTTCTTCATTGAATAAACTGATAAGCTTTGATTTTGTTCATTGTTTTTTTAAACAAGGCCAGTTTGTATATTATTCTGTTCTCCTGCCTCCTGAGATTAATAGGCCAACATGACATGGGTTACATTTCAATCCCTAGCATGACACTTTTGTGAGGCCTAAGGGATCTGTGGAAAGGGCTGTTTCCCACATGTATAGAGAACAGTTCAGCCGGATGTAGGAGACAACCCTGAGATGGTCCCTAATGTTCCATGCTCCCCGGCATTCACCTCATTGTGCAATGCCCTCTTGGAGTATGAGCTGGCCTGATGACTGGCTTTAAACTGAAACACTGCAGAAGTATGATATCACTACTGCAATTTCATTATAACTCATCTTGCTCACTCACTCTCCGACTTGCTTCCTCTGAGAAGCCAGCTTCTAAATTGCGAGCTGCCTGTGAAGAAGCCCACATGGCAAAAACCTGTGGGCAGCCTCCAGCCAACAGCCAGAGAGCAACTGAGATCTTCAGTTCAACTGCCTGCAAGGAACTGAATTCTGCCAACAACCAATGTGGGAACTAAGAAGCAGATCCCTCTGGGGGAGAACTGAATGCAGCCCCAGCTGGCACCTTGGTTGGTCCCATCCTGTGGGACACCAGGAGGCAGAAGCACCTGTCCAAGCCATGCCCAGATTCTAAACCAACAGAAACTTGGAAATAATAAATACTTCTTCTTTCAAGTTGCTAGGTTTGAGTGTGATTTGTTATTCAGCAATAGACACATGACATACCATGAGAAAAAATAAACAAACTGCTGAATTCATGGCCGTACATGGCCGTAGTGATGAAGAGCCAGAGGTCTTCAATTCTTTTGTCAGAGTGTGGTCCCTTTAGTCTGCTGATCTATGGAGAGTACAGGTCAAAGTCTTTCTCCTACAAATTGATAGAGCTGCCCATGCTCTCCTTAGTTTCTACTTCCTGTCTCTCCCAACATGGACTGCAGAATGCTATCCACTGGTGGACATTTCACTGCCCTGAAGTCCCTTAACCTTCTTTTCCTGATATTACCATCTCTTACTCATCAACCAGTTGTCAGCAACTCTGTAATGTTTTAACCCCATGACCCTAGCTAGTCAGTCACTTCCCTCTTTAGGTTACCAACCCCCCTTAGCTTGAATCTACCACCACAGTCCTTCTGGCATTGCATTTTTACCATTTGTTTTTCTCTGTCTTTGTTGCCCACAGTGTTCCACTCAAAGGTCACAGTGACCTGGAATAGTACCTGGTACACAGTAAGATTCAGCAAATAGCTGTTCAATGAGCATGCCTTTTACTTCTATCGCCTCTCATAGACAAATAAGATGGTAAACCCCAATATACTATGACATATTACAATGAATGACCTAATTTATTATCAGCTCTATGCACACTGATGAGCAAATGCTAGTAATATCTTTTCATCATTAAAAATTATAGAAGTTCTTTGTATTTGGAGTGTCTTTGTATAATTAAAATATACTTTTCCTTTTCTTCTCAACCTCAATTTTTGCATTCTTTCAGGGTGCTTATGTCTCCTATTGACTAACAAGGACATCAGACTAACAAGAGCCACTCAGTCATCTCTTTGTGGCCTTGTACTTTTGATTGCAGGCATTTCTTCCTAGAAAAGGACTCAAATTCTTAACGCAAAAGGACATGTACGAAACAGAATTAAATTTCTGGACCTACCAAGGCTCTTCAGAATCTGTAACTCTTCTGCCAATTTAGACTATTTTGCAAAGTATCCTAGCCTCCTCCTGTTCATGTTATAATCTAAATGTGAAAGCAGGAAGCTATTGTCATGAACAACCATTTTAGTTATAGGAGGCCCTGAAAATAGCTCCAGTACATCCTGTACACTGTCCCTTATTCCCATTGTGAAAACATCTGCTGGTCTATTACCACAAAATGTATACTTCCTACTGCCTGGCTCTTGGGTGTTCCTTGGCTATAGTGCCTACAGCTGACAACCTAGAAATTTTCTCCTGGATGAAATACAGAAGACTGGCAGGTGAAAACCCAAGGTCTTATTTGTGCTACTGTTTATTTTTGCAGTCTGGTAATCTCTGTCTCTAACCAACATTTACTGAGCCAAGCACTGTGCTAGGCACAAGGGTTACAAAACAAATTACAAATAGTCCTTGTCATCTAGGAGCTTAAGTTTCAACATTTTTTATTGGAGTGAATATAAAACCAAGGCCTACCATGGGAAATTACTCTGGGTGCTACTGTGAGAATGTCCTGGTGCTTTAAGACTGCCATGGGTCATTTCACCTATAAAGGCTGTATTGACTTTTACTGCCTTTCACTCCACCCACACAAACCCAGCATGTTAGCATGGATCACAGCAGAACCTGCCACTCTTTGCCTCACATCCATAGAGTTCATTCAGATTCTGAAGTTGTCTTACCTTTAATGTGCTATTTAAGGTTCGGATTTTGTGAAGTTTCTCATTTATGGATGGATTCTTGCACCGCTTAACAAAGGACTTTCTCAACTCCTTTTTGGTTGAAGGTCGCCGATCCCCAAGAGGAGACAGACTTGCTTGTTCTAATGATTTGTAGAGCTTCTCCATTTCATCATCTTCAGGTGCTTTTGTTTCCACTATTAAAAAAGTAGTGCAAAAACAAAGCCAGTTAAAGCCAAGGGGAGAATATTAGATACCTGTGGGTTTTTGTATGCTTGTTTGTTTGTGGGACTATGGTTAGATCTGAGGGCTTCCCACTTGCAAAGCAGGTGTTCTACTACTTGAGCCACACGTCCAGTCCATTTTGCTCTGGTTAGTTTGGAGATAGGGTCTCTCAAACTATTTGCCCAGGATGGCCTCAAACTGTGATCCTCTCAATCTCAGCCTCCCAAGTAGTAGGATTACAGGTCTGAGCCACCAGCACCCAATAAAATATCATGATCTTAAAGAACAGTTTGCCCACAACTGCATATCAGACTTCTCCCATCCAGAACTATAAAACAATAATGGCCTGTTCCAGTGTGTCTTCCTAGCTGCTGTTGGCTCCAATATTCATATGGTACTTTCTCTGTGTGCATGTCTCTGTGTCCAACCCCCCTTTTTATAAGAACAATAGTCATACTGAATTAAGAACCCACTAGAATGCACTTGTATTAATTAATTACATTGGCAACAACATTTCCCAATAAGGTCACATTCTAACATAATTGGGGGGAGGGGTTAGCCCTTCAGCATATGAATTTTGGTGGGACACAATTCAATCCATAACAGTTCATCTTCTGACCTCTCAAAATTCACATACATCTTACATGCAAAACACATTTCAACATCTCCTCAAGTCTTAACACATTTCAACTCTAAAGCCAAAATCTCACCCAAATATCCTCTAAGTCAAGGATTGGTGAGATTCCAAGATTCAGTCACTAGTTCAAAATTCATCTCCATCTTTGAGCCTGTGGATCTAGATAATTTATCTGCTTCTCAAACACAATAGTGAGTCATGCAAGGCCAGCAAGCTAATAAAAGCCCTAAAATTTGAATGCTGCTGCCCTAAATGACCACTTGATGTCCTTCCCAGAATGGCCCTTTGAAAAAGAAGCCTGCCTATGGTCTGTATCTGTGAGCAGAGAGGGACCTCTCTCATCCTGAAACATTCTCTCCCCCCTTCTTCATCACATCTTGCCCAATGTAGCCCACACGATTCCAGTGAAGTGACAGACCAAGCCATGACCACTACTGTGCTGGCCACAGTTCCTTGAGAATGAGCTGACGACTTAGGCAGGCCAACCTGGGCCAGAAAGAATCTGTTCTGAGACTTTGTTTTGGGTATCAGAAAAGCATCTCTCTTTTTCCTTAAACTGAATATTGCATGATGTAAACTAAAAGCTTTTAGGAGTCACCCCAAGAATTAGCATGGAGACAATCCATTCTGAAACATGGATCTTGATGAGACCATTGGAGCCCCCTCAGCATGTAGAAGCCAATGTGCTGCCTTTGGGAAGCTACTCTGGTGGTGGTTTTCAATTATATTCAATGGTAGGGACCTGAAATGATACTGAGGTCACCCAAAGAAAAACTTCATTTCTTAATGTTACATTAATTTCACACAAAGAATTTAGGTCCCTTATTACTTCATTCTCTGGAAATAATCTTGGAAACAATATACAATGACATTTACTTTTTCACTATATACTCTTTAGTGCTTATATGTTTCACCACTTGTCCTGAGAACAAACTTAAGAGAGAGTCCTATAAAAAAAAATATGGCCTTAAGAGAAACTGAACAAAACAGGCTCTCCAAAGGGGAGAGAGAAGCATACAATGGTACTCAAAGAGCACCAGAATCAGGCAAACTTCATTCACATCTTGGTTTTCTCCCCTACTGTTAGAAATTCTTAAGCAAGAGTGTTCCCAAAGCTCTTCTACAAAATGGAAAGCAAAAATACTGGACCAACTTTGTAATTGACTTAGAGCAATGATCAGCACAATCTCTTTTTTCTCTCATAAAACAATCTCAAAAAGGGGAGGAAATATGCAAAAACAATATTTGAAAACAATTAGGCTTTTGGGTTCCGGCTGTGTGTAAACATCAAAAGTGGACTTTTGCCAGTAAGCACATGAAAAACTGCTCCCCATCACTAATCATTAGGAAAATGCAAATCAAATCCACAACAAAACACCACCTCACACACTCCAGGCTGGTTAAAGTAAAAAAGATGAATAGTGATAAGTGTGGAAAAGGATATGGATAAACTGAAACCTTCACTCACTGCAGGAATGTAATGTGGAGCTGCCACTTCAGAAACCAGGTTGACAGTCCTTCAAATGCTACAGTTAACAATATGACCTGCGGTTTTATACTTCATACGTACTAAAGAGAACAGAAAACACATGTGCATGTGACAATTGTACTCAAAAGTTCATAGTAACATTATCCATAACAAACAAAAGGTGGGAAGAACCTAAGCATTTATCAGCTTGTGAATGGATTTTAAAAAATGTGGTACATGCACACAAAGGAATATTCAATAATTTAGGAATAGTATTCAGTAATAAGCTACCCAAAATGCTACAGTATGAATGAAACTTGAAGTCATTATGCTAAGCTAAAAAGCAAATTGCAGAAGACCACACATTAGATGGTTTAATTTATATGAAATGTCCAGAATAAGCAAATCCATAGTGACAGCAGGAAGTAGAATACTAGTTTCCCAGGGGTAGAGAAGAGACAAGCAGGAATGAAGAATGACAGCTAAAATGTAAGGGTTTCTTTTTGTGATGCTGAAAATGTCTTCAAATTAAATTCTGTGATAGATGCACAGCTCTGGGAGTATGCTACAAGTCATTCAAGTGTGCATTTTTAGGTGAATTTTAGGCTATGTGAAATCAGTATATCAATACAGCTGTAAAAGTAGGCTTTATGGGATTGTCATGATAGCTGATGATACATGCACAGCAAAATTCTGAGCATGGCAACATCTGTTTGGGTAATCTAAAGGGGACATTAAGATTGAAGGCTCTGAGTTTTTACACACAAGGATACAGTAATCTCATGTGTCATTTTTTACACCAATGGGGTAAGACTCTACTTCAAATTAAGCATAAATACATAGATTTGAAAACCACAGTATTTTTTAATTTCATTGCATATGTATAACTTAATTAAAAATATACATAGGTGCATATATATATATATATATATATATATCATATGTATATATGATACAAATTCACAACAAAATACAGCTTGCACCCACAGAAGAGGTGAGAGTCTTTCCTGATTGCTGTACAAGGACTGACACTATGGGTTAACCCACCTCTCTGGCTATTCTTGTACACCTCCCCCATTAATCTTTAAGTATTTTTCTAAATTATAATTTCATACTAAAAAGAAGTATATTATTTTCCTTATTTACCCAGATTATAAAGAGCAAGAAAAAAAGATTGACAGAAAGACTACTTGCCTTTCTTCCATTGGAAATGAAAGCCAAGTTAATTATTTCCACCTCCCTTACCCCGAAGCAAAATTAATGAGTTTTGTCTGACGATATAGTGTTTCCAATGCAATTATAACCCTTCTTCTCAAGTGCCTATTTTAGTCTTTCCATGTAGGGTTTTGATTTTCATTGACACATAAGCACTTTATGGTCATCATCTCTTGCCTCACAAGTGCTCAGTTCAGGAAGATAAAGATTTATTTTATGAATGAGAAAAATAAAGATTCTTGAAAAACAATAATTTTTTTTCAAAATGCAAATCAATGATGGAAGTTAAAAATACAATTCTATACTGTGTAGACTCATATACTTCTGGAAAGCAGTATCAAACTTTAACAGGCAAGCAGACTCCTAGGGGACTTGTTAAAATTATAGATTCTGATTCTTCCCATCTGGGATGGCACTGAGACTCTAAATTTTTGACATGCTTCTAGGTGATGCTATAACTCCTAAATCACAAAACATAAACCATTGAGTAGAAGTGGTTAGACTGTCTTTTAGCAAAATTTCTCATACAATACAGCCTCCACTCATTGGAAGAAAAGAGACTGGAGTCAAAACTAGCAAGTTGGGACTTGTTCATAAAGTAGCAATGACTTCTCTGTGTCATGTCCTAATCAAAAAAAAGATTTGGAAAAAAATCTGGTTTTGCTCAAAGAAGTATAGAATTCCCACTGGAAAGCACAGTACATCACAGGTTGAGGAAGAAGGAATTTGAGGTAAAAGTTGGTGGCCCTAATAGATATAAATATGTTAGGCTCAGAATGTCTCAAAATGTCATTCCAGCTACGCAAGAAGCATGAATAAAAGGATCACAATTCAGGCCCGCAGGAAAAAATTGTGAGAACTTGTCCCACAAATAACAAAAAGCCAAGGGCTGGAGGCCTGGCTCAAGTGGTAGGGCACCTGCCTAGCAAGTAAAAGGCTCTAAATTCAATCCACAGTACCTTAAGAAAAAAAAAAAAGGAATGAGCTATATATAAGGCAAAATAGAACAGGTTTGCCTAGAAATGGGGTGGGAGAGTGGGGAGAGGGGAAGGGGAAGGAGGAGGGGAGCAAGGGGGAGAGATGTCCCAAACAATGTATACACATATGAATAAATGAATAAACAATAAAAAAGTCAGATAGACATTTTAACAAGATCTTTCTTGTTGATATTAACAAATGAAATAAAACAAAAATTTTAACTACTGGTTAGAAGTCTCTCTTTTTCAAGATTCTGCCAAAGGAATGTGTGACACCCTTCCCCTCCTCCTACACACCCAGCCTATTGTCTGCTCTGACAGGTCAGGCCCGCTCTTGTAGGCCAGGCATGTTGGCTGTCAAGAACTCTGTACACAGATTCTCTCTTGAAATGCTGTACTTTTAACTTCAGCTCCCCCGCTAGCTTATTTTTGGTCTTTCTTGTGTTTTCTAGAATGTTACTGTTTTCTTTCTGTTTAGAACATAAAAGCTGGATTCCGAAGACAGGAGAGGAATTTGTATGCCAGATTGTATATCAGGATTTGAAAGCAGACTCTTTAAAGACTGGGAAAGTCTAAACAATGTCCTAAGAAAGATAATTTTAATTCTCTTATTCCTCAAATGTGAAAAACTTGGGATGTCCTGGAAGAAAAAGGTATTCCCTGTTTCATGTGCAA